ATAAGTAAATAAAAAGAAGTGACATTTATTCAGCAACATGAGACAGACGATGCAGTCATTATGTTTCCCAATCTGTCACCTTCATCACCTTTGTCAAATCTTAAACAGACCATACATTACAATCTGTTTGTTCAATCATCTTAAGATCTACCAATACCTATGTAGTATGATTGGATACAAGTAAATGGACCATATGGGTAGACACATGTGATTCCTTTCGTTACAAAATAAAATTTGGATGAAATTTTCGTTATTTGGAGATTTGGATGTATCCAAATCTCCGAATCACAATAGTAACACATTTCATTGAATCAGAAATAAACTATAACGAAAAAACAAATTAATTTGTATTTATTTGTTTAATTTGTTTGCAAGTCAGAGGGTTGTAAGTGCAATACTATGGGGTTGATTTACTAAAACTGGAAAATGTAAAATCTGGTGTAGCTGTGCCTGGTAGCCAATCAGCTTCTAACTTCAGCTTGTTCAAACTTCATTCTCTCAATCAACATGGGCTATTTTTTATGCTTTATGCTGCTAGCATTAGTAAATGGATAGAAAAGTATATTATAGTTACTTCTTTTAAACTTTTTTTTTTAACATTTCTTCAATTCCTTCCTGGTTCCCTTGCCTTGGCAAATGATGTCACACATCCCTGGAGCCTTCAGGAGGGAAGGGAGGGTTCTCAGCTCAGCCAATGCCTGAGCTAAGGGTAGATGGACTCCAGGAAGTAAATGCTACATGAATCATCTACCCTTATTCAAGATGGACACTGCCAGAAATATCAGGGGGTGTTTCTAAAAATTAATTCTCAGCAAAATAAAGCATGGAGACAAGGATGGATGGTGAGTTTTTCTTTGAATATTAACAATGAACTAAATAGCATTTTTGGTTTGTGGTGCTCTACTTAAAGTGCAGTTCCACTTTAGGAGTTGACAAAAACCTGGAAGCCGATTGGTTTCTATGCAGAGCTGCACCAGATTTTGCACTCTCCAGTTTTAGTAAATCAACTCCTATGTGTCACACTCTGTTGTGTTACGATAGGCCAAAGCCAAAGTTGCAAGCAAGTTGCATGAAAGTCGCAAACAAGTAGCTGAAATAATATAATAACATAACAAATAAATCCAAATTTTCCTAAATAACTTCCACAAATATGAGTCGATTCAGAATAATGAATGTATTAACATGATGAATATGATCAAATTAAATTAAATGACTGAAAGTGATTACCGGATGAATCCAATGTGAACCATTGTGCAGATCTCTACATATGTGCTCATTTGCACAGACGCAAATGCCCATACAGCATAAAGAGACTTTTTTTTTAAGCTTCTGGAGCAGTGTGGAGCTGTGTACAGATGGACAGTGTTAGTCAATGGAGATGCATAGGCTGTACAGACTCACCTTCAAATTCAAGTTTGACAGGCATGCAGGGACAGGTGCATAGCCCCAGGAGAAAACAGGGGCCATCCCTGTACTGGCAAAACTCGAATGTGTGGGTGAGTCCATACAGCCGCTGCCCCTGTTGGCAGGTAGAGTTCCTCTTAAGGGTTGTTCCTCCAAGTGATGGAGTTGGTGATGCAGGTCCTCCTTTATAAGGTGGGAGGAGTCAGCAATTGGGATTTTGGGTGATGGTCTCTATAAGGATAGAGGTTCCCAAATGTTTAATGTGCTCCCACCTAAGGGGGAGGGGCGGTTGACATACCTTACAGTCATATTCAGGGAAGATATAATAAAATAATGTGCGGCGCTAAGAACAAAAAAAATGTTTATAAGTTAGCATATAAACATAAGATACTGATTATTGATAAATCATATAAACGTTCATCAGGTGACTATGGTGCTTATTAATCATGCGTCTTCCTTGACCTGGTGGATGTGCATATATGTGTATAAGCAATGCGCACTCACCAGAAAGCGCACGTAAATGCGCGTTAGTAATTAATTTAGATGTCATCAAATGGTCATCATGGGATGATGGCAGGAATCCTAAGTCTTTCCTCTATGGGTGGATGGATTCTGAGGTGTGGATTCATTAGTATCAAGGTCATCCAGAGTTCCCTTTTATGGAATAGGTGGGTGCAGTCCTCTGTATCTAGTGGAGGCTCCCTCTCTGGATGTTAGGATGGCTGTGAATCAGAAACTCCTCAGGGGAGTTAAAGCAAAAGGATGCCCATAGTGTAGTAACTTTGTAAACATTTATTGCAAAAAATCCAGGTTAAAACAAACAGTAGGGCATGTAAAAACCATGTGGACTAACCGTCCAGAGCTAAAAGATGGCCACCAGAGCTCCTCGTTGCTCTGGCGGCGTGACGTCTCAGCGCTCCTTGCTACCCCTTACGCGTTTCGTGCACCCGTACGTCGTCTGAGGGGAGTGTCAGTAACGCCTAGCCGTCTCTTTATGTCCACGGCGGTGCATGCGTAATTGAATGTGCGCCATCTTGAAGTAGACCAAAGCATGTGCACAGACGCGACTATGCTGTCGCCATTTTTCCATCGGTATTTTAAAGTTAAGCAAATTCACATAACAATCCGAGATGCCGAAAGTATGTGTTGATTTCCTTACTGATATGGCCTTCTCTTTGCTAACATTATTACTATATTTATAATGAATATAACTGAATGGAATTCTCTCCTATCCTATTCTATACTACAGATTTACTGTCATTTTTTTAATATTGTTTATATTATGCTACACATATATGTGTTTTAAGATTATTTCTACTATTTTCTGTATTTTTTATTTAATTTAAATTTTTGAAAGTGATACATACGTTTATAGCATTCTAATTTTATTTTATGTTTTAGGGCATATATTTATAGAATCATAAACTGAATTTCATATTGATTAATGAGTGTTCATTGTGGATGATGACACTCATGTGTTGTCAGTGAGGGGTTTTTCCTGTCACTGAGATCTGTTACTGTACATATATACATCATTATGCCTCAGTATTAATAAGACCAAATGTCAGGATTTCCCATAGGTATACATTGCTACTGGTGACGCATACATGCTGTCAATAAGGGTTTTAGAATATAGTTGGAATCTCCATTGCTTTTACATATTTCTTTTAGCGCACATATTTTCTGCATCTCGGATTGTTATGTGAATTTGCTTAACTTTAAAATACCGATGGAAAAATGGCGACAGCATAGTCGCGTCTGTGCACATGCTTTGGTCTACTTCAAGATGGCGCACATTCAATTACGCATGCACCGCCGTGGACATAAAGAGACGGCTAGGCGTTACTGACACTCCCCTCAGACGACGTGCGGGTGCACGAAACGTGTAAGGGGTAGCCAGTAGCGCTGTGACGTCACGCCGCCAGAGCAACGAGGAGCTTTGGCGGCCATCTTTTAGCTCTGGACGGTTAGTCCACATGGTTTTTACATGCCCTACTGTTTGTTTTAACCTGGATTTTTTGCAATAAATGTTTACAAAGTTACTACACTATGGGCATCCTTTTGCTTTAACTCCCCTGAGGAGTTTCTGATTCACAGCCATCCTAACATCCAGAGAGGGAGCCTCCACTAGATACAGAGGACTGCACCCACCTATTCCATAAAAGGGAACTCTGGATGACCTTGATACAGTGAATCCACACCTCAGAATCCATCCACCCATAGAGGAAAGGCTTAGAATTCCTGCCATCATCCCATGATGACCATTTGATGACATCTAAATTAATTACTAACGCGCATTTACGTGCGCTTTCTGGTGAGTGGGCATTGCTTATACACCTATATGCACATCCACCAGGTCCAGGAAGACGCATGATTAATGAGCACCATAGTCACCTGATGAACTTTTATATGATTTATCAATAATCAGTATCTTATGTTTACATGCTAACTTATAGACATTTTTTTGTTCTTAGTGCCGCACATCATTTTATTATATTTGTTTGAGGTTTTCTTGGTTACCTTGTGCTTGGCTGCTTTTAATTTAATTTATTCAGTTTCTTTACTTATTTGGTTTCATTGGGCACTCCCATCTACCTATTCTTTATATTCAGAGAAGACCTATCAAAAGATGTACACTGGGTTCGACACTGGGTTCAAATACCACAATGCTCTTAATATGTTAACTGAATAATGCTGAAATATTGAAGAACGAGTTGGAATATCCAACCAGTACCCAGAATTTGGATTGTTATGTTTCCATTACTCAAAGTGAAACTACTTAAACAACAAGGAGTCTCTGAGTGATATTCTCCAAGAGTGATGTGTTCAGTACAGCGGATACCTGGGGAGAAGAGATGTGTTCTTTACAGGTGCAAACTTGGCTGACTCTGGAGTGGTGGTGATAGAGAAAAAGGAGTCCCTCCACCAGTGGCAAGAATGATCCCTCTCATGTAGCATGTGTCAGATGGCCTGGGCCCCCATGCTCATGGGCCCCAAGTGGACGGTTGGGCTGTCTAGACTACATTTCAAACATAAGCCTATGTATGTGAGTACTCTAGGCAGGAAGGGGTTAAAAGAGAAGTGACCAGAAGGATGGGGAGAAGAGGTGCAGGGCCAACATCCGTTCACGTGACAGTGTGTGGTTTGGGATGAACACTTGTGTGACAGTACTTTTGGTAATTTATGTACAGTATAATTAACATTTATTAGGTAATTAAAAACAGAATTTGTCAACAGTACAATAGAATAAAGAAACTGGTACATGTGATATGATATACAATAGAAGGTATAATGATTACAACTATGTACTTACTACTGTTGGCCTAAAACAAAATTAATGGTTTAGTAACAATATATTGTTAGTAAAAATGTAACTGGACAAAAAAAAAAACGTCTATTGAAAATAGCACTGAAGTCATACACAATCTACATAATGTTATAAAATATAGAGCAACCGGTCTAATGTAATGATTAGATAGACCATTGTAGTTGCTACATTATATTGGCAAAAGTACTGGGATACCCCTCCAAATCTTTGGATTCAGGTGTTCCAATCACCTTCATGACCACAGGTGTATAAAATCAAGAACGTAGGCATGCAGACTGCTTCTACAAACATTTGTGAAAGAATGGGTCACTCTCAGGAGCTCAGTGAATTCAAGTGTGGTACCGTGATAGGTTGCCACCTGTGCAATAAGTCCATCTGTGAAATTTCCTTGCTACTAAATATTCCACAGTCAACTGTTAGTGGTACTATAACAAAGCAACTGGGAACAACAGCAACTCAGCCATGAAGTGGTAGTCTATATAAAATGACAAAGTGGGGTCAGTGTATGCTGAAGCGCACAGTGCGCAGATGTCACTAACTGTCTGCAGTTTTAATAACTAAAGACCTCCAAACTTCATGTGGCCTTCAGATTAGCACAACAATAGTGTGTAGAGAGCTTCATGTAATGGGTTTCTATGGCTGAACAGCTGCATCCAAGTCTTACATTGCAAAGTGCATTACAAAGCATCGGATGCAGTGGTGTAAAGCACGCCGCCATGGGACTCTAGAGCAGGGAGACATGTTCTCTGGAGTGACAAATCATGCTTCTCTGTCTGGCAATCCAATGGATGTGTCTGGGTTTGGCAGTTGCCAGGAGAACGGTACTTGCATGACTGCATTATGCCAAATGTAAAGTTTAGTGGAGGGGGGATTATGGCGTGGGGTTGTTTTTCAGGGGTTGGGCTTGGTCCCTTAGTTCTAGTCAAGGGAACTCTTAATGCATCAGCATACCAAGACATTTTGGACAATTTCATGCTCCAAACTGTGTCGAAACAGTTTGGGGATGGCCCTTCCTGTTCCAAAATGGGTGCGCACCAGTGCACAAAGCAAGGTACAGAAAGACATGGATGAGCGAGTTTGGGGTGGAGGAACTTTACTGGCCTGCACAGAGTCCTGACTTCAACCTGATAGAACACCGTTGGGATGAATTAGAGCGGAGACTGCGAGCCAGGCCCTCTCTTGTCTGACATCAGTGCCTGACCTCACAAATGCGCATCTGGAAGAATGGTCAAACATTCCCATAGACACACTCCTAAACCTTGTGGACAGCCTTCCCAGAAGAGTTGAAGCTGTTATAGCTGCAAAAGGTGGGCCAACTCAATATTGAACCCTACGGAGGCTGGGATGCCATTAAAGTTCATGTGCTTGTAAAGACAAGTGTCCCAATACTTTTGGCAATATAGTGTTTATACGGCACTGCCATATAAATGGTAACATGTAGAAAGAGAGAGGAATAACAGTGGTAGGAGAAAAAAAAAAAAAGGGTTGAAGAAAGAGAAGGAAGGAAGAAGAAAGGAAGGAAAGAAAAAGAGTACAGCAATGGCAACCTCCTAAATCCTTCACGAGAGAATATAATAGTCTGAAAACTTTCTGATAGAATATAATCTTTCCTGTGAAGGTTGAAAGGTATCAGAAGGAATGTGGAAATAATTTAAAATGGTAAAAATTTTTAAAATGTATCTTCTTCTGTAAGCTTACTTTTCAAAAATCGATTTAAATTAACAATTTTTTGATTTCGCAAAACAAATCTCACAATACAAAATTTTGGTTTTTCAGAAAGTATTTCTGGAGGATAAGGGTACTTATGGTAATTAACTTTATTCAATTTATTGTTTTTTTCTTTTTTTTTCTTTGTATATTTGATTGTTATTTGCATACTGCTACATGAAAAAAAAAATAATTTTAACTGTTTTTTTTTCTTTCTGGAAAAAGCATAAAATCGTGAGGCTTATATTTTGCTGCAAGAACAAGTCCAGAATGACTTTCAGAAGCCATTTAAAGCTCACCACATCCAGAAAAAACATGGCAAGAGGGTTCAGGTGTGTCTGTGCCAAGACCAAAAACATTAGGGAAATTTTGCCAAAATTTCAGAGAAATGAAAATGATAAATTTTGTTCACCCCTACAGGCATCATAAAACGAATAACATTTTATATTACATTCATTGAGCTGATAGCATTTTAACTTGCTAATTTGTTTGTATTTTGGTAAGATGGGTGCAAAGTAGAAAAAAAGGAATGTATGGCATGAGGGAGAAGAGTTTAATTTCAATAACATTTTATTAACGTTGAAATGGTTATACAATAACAAAGGATAGCAGTTTGTATTTGTCAACACTATACCCACACCAAGCATGAAGGCATTGATGAACAATAGGAGTAACTTGGCAATACAGGTATAGAAATAAATCAAAGTACCATATCCCTAAATTCACCTCAAAACAGCAGACTTAGGGCTAGTTCACACTAAATGCAGTCCAGTGCATTTTTTTTCTGCATCAAAAATGCATTCACAGTGTTTTCAATGTATTCCAATGGCCCTAGGTCACACCAGTGCAGTCAGTTCCAGTCAGCTTCTGGTGCAGAAAAAAAAAAGTAGAACCTGCTGCATTTTTTCTGCACAGAACCATATTGGAACATAGTAAACTGCATCAAAACTGCACCGGAACGGAGTGTGGTGTGAACTGTAAACAAAAACGTATCCAGAATGCATCCAGAGTACGTTTTGTGTGGTATGAACTGGTCCTTACATAATACTTAAGAGGTCTCAGAGTACAGGCCTAGCATTATACCAGGTAACCCATGGTTGCCACATGAATGAAGCAGATGTCAATTTTCCCCTGCTAGAGTCTAACATAAATTCATAAGTACTAGATTGATCATTTTGGTACAGGAGGGGGTATCTTCAGTTTCCAGTGCTCATTGTGCAAGATTCAGTATGGCTAATCCCAGTGAAGGAGTAATTTGGGTTTATGCTACTTCTGAAGCTATTTGGAAAATATCCCTCCAAAAGCACGTCAGTATACTACAGAGCCATATTGTGTGACAAATGTTGCCAATGTGCTACCATTCTCCAGCAATTTGCAGAGATGGTTGAACTAAGTTTGGATAATCGACAAGAGATACCACCAAAGAGTAATTTTTTGTGACAATTTCCAATAAGAAAGAAGAATTTTGATGTGAAACTATAGCAGTGAAAAGCACCTTTGTCCAAGTTGGTTTCAGCTAAGAAAGTCAGTTACTCTTCTGAAACTTATTATTATAATATTTAATATTATTAATTATAAGCACTTATCCTATTTGGAGAGACAAGAAGGGAAGGATATAAACCATGTCACCTGTGTTGCAATGCCTTGAATTCAGAAGCACATTGTTGCAGCCAGTGTGACTAATGTTATAAGAAAATGGGGGATGACTAAACAAATAATAATAAGGACATTATTAAATATCAATGTTATTAATCAACACCCACTTTTCACTGTTCAATAGGGGTAGGTCAGCAATGAAACACACATCATAAAGTATAGATGAAAATAGTATATAGTATAAAGAATTAAACATGTACAGCTTAAATATTACATAGAAACAATCCTTTAGAGGCAAATACCTATAGACAATATATTCAAACTGGATAGATTACCAAAAACAGGTTTATCCAATATTACCACTTCTAGAGGATAGTAGCTGAAGTCTCTCCTAGACCCCCATCTCTGAGCCTGACCCACAGGGGTCCCAGGTGTCTCCCATCCAATCTCTCCCCCTTAGTGAGGTCTCCCTCTCCCATTCTTATCCTAGTTCATTCCATTCACTCTCATTGAGGAATCTCTGATTGGTTCAAACTGCACAATCATATCTTTCTCATCAAAGTGATTGGAAGGAACATTGCTATGATACCTATCCAATATTCCCTTGCTACAATGCCAATATTCCTATCTAATTAAATCTCTTGTTGCTTTTCATAGTTGTGGTGCCTTGTGCAATTATACGTTTAGTAAGTCTACCATCATCCTGAACCTTCAGACATCTGTTGACCAGCTTAGCATACCAGAGCCATATGACCCATGGAGACACACTGTCTATTAACTATTCTCTACCTAATTATCAGCTCCCCTGAAGACAAAAGGGCAATCTTAGTGATAATACATAACAATCTGGCTTTAGATAACTAGTGATGGCACAACAGGAAAGACCAGTTCTCTTGAGAGACAGGAGACAAGCTTGTAAATGCATACTTTGGTCCATATCACATAATAATCACATATAAATATTCTAATGGAAAACATTCCCTACAATTAGATATTTTATTTTACAATATAAAGCTCTGTGGAACTGTGCCACTACTAATAAAGGTTGGTTATCAGTAAAACATTCAAGTAGCACCCTCACTTGGTTAGTTCTTTTTTTTCTTCCGGACTGTGAATACACATTCATCATTCAAAGGTCACTCTACCTATCAAAGGAAATTGCTTTAAGACAGTGGTCTCCAAAATGATGCGACCCTTTGCCTGTTTTTATCCAGCCCATGGGGCACTATTTTATCCACTGATACCAACAATGGAACAAAATTCTCCCCACTGACACCAATGAAGGGGTACATTTCCTCCCAATGACACCAATGATGGGGCACAATTCCTCCCAGTGACACCAATAATGGGACCTAATGACACCAATGATGGGTCACAATTCTTCCCACTGACACCAACAATGGGGTGTTCTTCCTTCCTCTGACACCAAAGATGGGGCATTGTTTATTCCAATTGACATCAGGACCTTTTCTACTTCCAATAGTTAAAGTTTGGCCCCCCTACAGTCTGAAGGACAGTAAACTGGCCCTTTCTTTCAAAGTTTGGAAATCCCTGCTTTAGGACACTGATGTTACAGTGTATACTGGAAAAGGAGTTCTGGTTTGTCTGTTTCAGATTACAATTGATAAATAGAGTTGTGAACTGTAAGCAATATTCAAAGAGGAACGCTACTTCCAAAGAGTTATTTTGATTGAAAACCTCCCTACCTTTTTCACTAGCCTGAGCTGAAATAGCACACTCACCCATCCAGTGAATCCAGCAATGTCCTGCTGTAATTTGTTGAAAGCCGCCGTACAACAGGTTCCATACTTCCATATTCTTTGCTGATATCATCAGGAGTCTGGCTGTCACTTCTGGGTCCAAGTAGCTGGCTCCCTGATGATGTTCCATTGTGCAAGAGTGTGCAGTGTGTTCTTATGTGGGTAACCCAGGAGGCTTGGGCGGAGGGGATATCATTCCTGTTTAGGTGAGAGAGGTGGAAGCTCTCTGCATGAAACGGTATCCCTCCTAAATATTTTTTTTTTTTACATTTTGTCAAAGTTGGGGGGGGGGGGCGGGAGATGGAGTGAGGTGGAAGGTGGAAGGCAGTGAAAAAAAAAAAAAGTGAGTGAAGGTTTGCTTTAAGAGTTACTATCCTCTAGTGTTTAATCGTCATTTCCAAGGTCATAGGTAGCCCAGATTTTTAGGAGTGGAAGAAAAGCACTGCTGATAAGGACTGTTACTGCTAAGTGTGGTACTTGACTTAGTCTACCCATACTCTAGAATTTACTATGAGATTAAATAAAAGATATTTATTGAAAGTGCTGAGCACTAAAAAGGGATTTCTTTGGGTTTTCTGCA